GCACAGTGGCTCATGCCTATAATCCTAACCCTCTTGGAGGCTGAGGCAGGAGTATTGCTTTATATGAGGAGTTCAAGACCAGCCTGAGCAAAGGGAGACCCCATCTCTACTAAAAATAGAAAAATTTGCCAAGCATAGTGGTGTACACCTATAGTTCTAGCTATTCAGGACGCTGAGGTAGGAGGATTGGGGCCAGGAGTTTGAGGTTGCTGTGAGCTAAGTCGAGGCCATGGCAGTCTAGCCTGCACAACAAAGCAAGACTCTGTCTCAACAACAACAAAAAAGAATAAACAGTCTACACACTGGGGAAAAAGTATTTACCAATTGCATAATTGGCAAATAAAGAACACTCAAAATTCAACAGTAAGAAAACCAACAATTCAATGTTTTTTTTTTTTGAGACAGAGTTTCACTCTATTGCCCTCAGTAGAGTGGTGTGGTGTTACAACTCACAGCAACTTCCAGCTCTTGGGCTTAGGGGATTCTCTTGCCTTAGCCTCCTGAGTAGCTGGGACTACAGGTGCCGGCCACAACACCCAAACAGGGAATGGCTAATTCACATTCACAAGTAACACCCATCATCACCTAGAGTAAGCTGGGGGCCCCAACTCACTACATTCTGTCAGGAAGAGAAGCCAGCAGATCGGAGGTAACCCAAAATGTTCATTAAACCTGCTAGGGCAACCCAAAGACAACTCAGGATCAGTACTCTTCTCCCTGACACAGTCAGGAACTGATCTTCAGAGTCTCAGAGACAAACCAATAAGCCAGTCCCAACACCACTGGCTCTCAAGTGAGAGGCCAAATGAGAGGGAACCAGCCTAGCTCACAGCAACCTCAAACTTCTGGGTTCAAGAGATCCTTCTGCCTCAGCCTCCAGAGTAGCTGGGACTACAGGCACACATCACCATGCCTGGCTAGTTTTTCTATTTTTAGTAGAGATGGGGTCTCCCTCTTGCTCAGGGTGATCTCAGACTCCTGAGTTCAAGCAATCCACCTACCTCAGCCTCCCAGAGTGCTAGGATTACAGGTGTGAGCCACCGCCCTTGGCTCCTAGTAATATACTCAAGAAAGGAGGTGAAATACCTTTGTAGGGAGAATTATGAAACACTGAGGAACGAAATCACAGAGGATGTAAATATGATGGAAATCACAGATGGAAAAACAAGATGCCCATAGACTGGCAGAATCAACACTGTTAAAATGGCTGCACTACACAAAGTGATTTACAGATACAATGCATTCCCATAAAAATACCAATGCCATTTTTTTTTTCACTTTTTGGCCGGGGCTGGGTTTGAACCTGCCACCTCCAGCATATGGGACCAGCACCCTACTCCTTTGAGCCACAGGCGCCACCCACCAAAGCCATTTTTTGCAGTGGTAGAAAATAAGTTTTATGCTTTGTATGGAACCAGAAAAGACCCCTGAATTGTCAGTGCAACCTTATGTAATAAGAACAAAACAAGAGGAATCATTTTACCAGACTTCAAGCTGGTATACAAGGCTACAGTAAAATATATAGTAACCAAAACAGCATGGAACTGGATCAGAACAGAGAACCCAGATAAAATCATCCTTATATTCCTATCTGCTTTTTGACAAAACAGATAAAAACACACACTAGGGAAACAAAACAAATCTATGTTAAATAAATGGTGATTGGAAAATTAGATAGCCACATGTAAAAGACTGATCCAGGATCTACACTTCTCACACTCACAAAAATTCATAATAGATAATAGACTTAAACCTAAGGCAAGAAACTATAACAATTCTAGAAGAGGCTGGCAAAACCTTATAAATATTGGCTTTCACAAAAAGACCCCCAAAGCAATCACAGCAATAACAAAAACAGACAAACGGGACCTAATCAAATTAATAAACTTGGCTACAGCCAAGGACGCAATCAAAAGTGGAAACAGACAACCCACAGAATAGGAGAAAATATTTGCATACTATACTTCTGATAAAGGACTGATAACCAGAATCTACAAAGAATGCAAGCAGATTAGCAAGAAACAACCCCATTAAAAATTGGGCAAAAGGGCTCAGTGCCTGTAGCACAGTGGTTATGGCACCAGCCACATACACCTGTCAAGGTTGACAGGTTCAAAACCTGGCTTTGAAATCCAGCCCGGGCCAGCTAAAGAACAATCACAACTGCAACAGAAAATGGCCGGGCATTGTGGTGGGCACCTGTAGTTCTAGCTACTTGGGAGGCCGAATCAGGAGGATCACTTGAGCCCAGGAGTTGGAGGTTCTTGTGAATTGTGACACCATGGCATTCTACCAAGGTCAACATAGTGGGCAAAAGGCCCAGTGCAGCGGCTCATGCCTGTAATCCTAGCACTCTGGGAGGCCAAAGTGGGTAGATTGCTTGAACCTAGGAATTTGAGACCAGCTTGAGCAAGAACAAGACCCCATCTCTACTAAAAATAGAAAATTTAGCTGGGCATTGTGGTGGGTACCTGTAGTCCCAGCTACTTGGGAAGCTGAGGCAAAAGGATTACTTAAGCCCAAAAGTTTGAGGTTGCTGTGAGCTAAGATGATGCCATGGCACTCTCTACCAGGGCAACAGAATGAGACTCTGTCCCCACCCCCACCCCCCGACCCCCGCTCCCCACCAAAAAAAGACAAAAGACCTAAACAGAACTTTTCAAATGAAGGTATACTAATGACCAACAGATTTGTGAAAAAATGTTCAACGTCTCTAATCATTAGGGAAATACAAATCAAAACTACAATGAGACATCACTTAACTCCAATGAGAATGACTTGCATTAAAAAGTCCCAGAACATTTTATGAAGAGGACACTTCGGGCAATTGAAGCAACATCAAAAATACACTATTGGGACCTGATCAAACTAAAGAGCTTCTGCACAGCCAAGAACACAGTAAGTAAGGCAAG